AATAAATGTTGGCAAGGATGTGGGGAAAAAGGCACATTCATACATTGCTGGTGGGACTGTAAACTGGTGCAACCAATATGGAAAGCAGTATGGAGATTCCTTAGAAAACTTGAAATAAAACCACCACTCAGCTATCCCACTTGTTAGTCTATACCCAAAGGACGTAAAAGCAGCATACTATAGTAAAGCAGCTACATCAATGTTTATAACAGCTCAATTCACAATAGATAAACTGTGGAATCAACCTAGATGCTCTTCAATAAATGAATAGAAAAAAAACCTGTGGTATATATACATAATGTAATATTACTCACCATTAAAAGAGAATAAAATATGGAATTTGCAGGTAAATGGATGGAGTTAGAGAATACCATGCTAATCAAAGTAAGCCAATCTCAAAAAACCAAAGGCTGAATATTCTAATAAGTGGATGCTGATACAAAATGGGGAGCGGCATGGGAAAAATGGAGGAACTTTGATGAGGCAAAGGGGAGGGAGGGGTGGGAAGAAGGCATGGGGGCAGGAAAGATGGTGGCATGAGATGGGCATCATTACCCTAGATACATGTATGACTGCACATATGGTATGTTGCTACACCATGTACAACCAGAGAAATGAAAAATTGTGCTGCAATTGTGTACAATGAATCAAAATGTATTCTGCTGTCATATATACCTAATTGAAATAAATAAATTAATAAAAACAAAAGAGATTTCTGATTAAAGGCAAATGGCGAATTTAAAAAACAAAAGAAAACTATGTCAAAACTCAAGAAGTTTGTGGTACTTAATTATTTACAGAAGCTCATTTTTTCCTGAGCAAGACCATGATGTGCATATAGGTCTTCAGTTACTACAGTTTTCATTTACAATCTGTTTTAAGGATAAAACACACAATAATTTTATTGTTTTTTTAAAAAAATTATCAGATATTAATCAATGGTTTACTATATGCCAAATATTAGCTCAATGGACTTAAGTAACTATAAATGCATAATTGTGACTTGAGATGGAATAAATTTTGTTTTAGCTGTCTCCTATAAGAAGTTCATGTTATTTTATGACTCCAGTCTTAAGACTTCTCTGCAAGGCATCCAAGAAAAAAACAACTGAGATGCTGCACTAGGCTGGCCTTGAAAAAGATTGCATAGGAGGCCTTTCCCATCTCCATTATTCCCTGATCTTATTTTTGTAATTTTTAAGAATATAAATGAGTAAACATCAAGGAGGGGCTCAGGATATTAAATTAAATATATGTAATTTTCCAAATTATCAGTGTTAAAAAATGTCACTCCTTTTTTCTGTTTCATATTGAGAACTGCCTTTTCTCTTTAGTATTTTATTACTATAACTAAGAATTTGTAACTCTCATCAGTGTTAGATAAACTATGCTCTGATTTACTTCTGTACCACATGACAGAACATCTGTAGGAAGGAGTCTACAGACTCAAGCATGGAAAAAAATGGCATGAGATGCCCTCACAGTAGTTAGCAAATTTGTTACAAATGTAGAAAATTCCCTCATATTCCTTTTTGAAAGCACAAAAGAGAAATTTGTGGTTCTAAAGCTAGGTTAAAAGAACTGAGTGCAGGGAGAACATAATTTGACCTAACAATATACAAATTAATACCTTTTTCAGTTGAATTTTTCCTTACTACTCAATGTCTAACATCTGTTCTAGAAAGCATTAACCTTTACTCCATCTAGGCATACACATGAACATATCACACTCAGATGAACTAAGTAATAAGAGTGCACAAAATTTGAGAAACTAGTTTCTTTATAGTGGTAAAACTCAAATGAAAGACACAAATCCTATAGCTATCTCATTAAACAGAAAGAAAACAGTACTTTGAAATACAGTACTATTAACTAGAATTTAATATATATTTTTGAATAAATAACATTTAAGTTTGGAGCAAAGGGTTATTTTTATATCATCCCATTAAGGTAATGAGATAGAAACTCCTTCTCTCATTTTATATTATTCTTTCTGTGCAGTTCTGGTGTAAACCTGGAATTAAGTTAGAGTTTATGGTGACAGAGAATCTAAAAAGCTATGTAGTTCTGAGAACTAGAACAGGGTATTTCAACCTTCTTTTTCAAGAAATAAACTTTAAAAAGTTGTATTCCTGATAACAGAAAATGGGTAAAGGTGGAGATCTGTCCATGAATAGGAGTTTCATAGGTTGGTAGAATGCTTTCTAAAGATAGAATACAGGATCAGAGGCATCACATGCTGCTTGGGTACTAGAGGAGAAAGGAATATTCTTAAATCAAGATAGCTAAGCCAACCTCAAAAGGTAGGTTGGTAGAATGCTTTCTCGAGACAGAATACAGGATTTGAGGCATTACATGCTGCTTGGATACTAGAGGAGAAAAGTATATTCTTAAGACAACCAAGCCAACCTCAAAAGGTAGCTGGCTGTTCATTTGTCATAAATTTCCCAAATGCCTCTATGTTACAGACCCCGTGTTAGGCATTGGGGAATCAAAGACAAATAAGACAGACACTACGCCTTGAGTTGCTTCAACTATCACAATATACTAACTAGGACAGAGAGATTCTAATACAAATGCACAAATAATCTTAATTTTAGAGTGTTTCTCAAACATCCTGGGATGAAGGGAGAGAATGTATTATTAAATGTGTTATTTAATAATGTTATTAAATATATATGTTAAAATAAATGGAGACTAATGGTGTGTTGCTCTTCATAAAGGAGGATGATTCTAGTGCTTTAAGGCCAAAGGACAAATTTTTTTGAGATATTTTCTTCCTAATGATGATATGACTTCTTTTGAATCTCCCTTTTGGAACCAGAGTTTGCGTCAGTAGTCAAATGGCTAAATTGGAATTAATAGTTGGATTTAGTAGTTTATCACTATGGTATCAAATCCTAGATTTTTACTCCAATAGCCCTTTGGTTCTATTAACTGAAATACATTATTCTAATTATACACATGACAGTCTGAAAATGTTTTAAGGATTCCTTGTCTCATCTTGAGATTTAAATTAAAGTTGAAGGAAAACCACTGAGGAAAAAAATTCCAGATTATGTAAGTTAACAGCATACCAGATACACATTATAGGATATTTTAATATTTTTAGCTCTAAAATAGTAAAAAAAAAATCTCTTGAAAATGATAAAGGAGAGAATGTGCTCAAATGGATGATAAAAAGTATAGAAATGGTTAAAACCCATCTGTCAGTATTTTAAGGCTATAATATTAATGAAATGGGAGCCAGTGTTAGTTCATCATAATAAGACTGAATTTGCTGTTTAGAAAGAGGTTACATATTTTGTCATTTTCATCTCTTAAATCTTTCAACACATTCATTATACTGTTGCTTTTCTGTGTTCAGCTATTTATCTTCATTTCAAAACTAGTATTTTTACAAAGTATATGAGGCATTTCATTAATAAATGAATTGATATGATGATTGTCTTGATGTTGACTATAATAATAGAAACACAATAGTCGTTTTCCAACATGAATTCATCATAAAACTCCCAGTAAACTAGGAAGAGAGTAAACTTCTTTAATATGATACAGAGCATCTACAAAAAATCCTCTATAGCTAATAATATTTAATGGTGAAAGATGGACTGTTTTCTCTTAAGATTGGAAACAATGCAAGGGTTTCTACTCTTAACATTCTTTTAAGATAGCATAAGAGAAAGCATAAAAGGTATAGAGAAAGATGGAAATAAAACTGTCTTTCTTTTAAGATGATGTCTGTCTATGCAGAATATCCCAAGGAATCTAAAAAAAAAAAAAACCCTCCAATAATCAATAGTGACTGAGATTATAATCTTGCTTATATCAAGATCAAAAATCAATTTCCATATGCTAAAAACAAACATGTGGAAACCAAGCTTAAAAATACAACATCTATAGTCTTTCCATAAAAAATAAAATAATTATGCAAATACTTAATAAAACATAGAGGGTTTTTATGATGAACATCAACGTCAGATGGAGACGTTTGCATGGCCATGAATTGGTTACAGTGAAAATAGCACTGAGGAAAACAAGAGCCCAGATTCTCACTGCTAGAGAAGATAGCTACAAATACAGATGATATCAGAAAGAACCTTGAAGCACTGTGTTGGATTAGAAATCTAGATATTGATGACTTATGGTTTTACATTGTATATACAAATATGAACAGATACTGGCTTTTAAACAACATACTCTGCCAAAAGGAACCAGATCTCCTTAATGAAATGTCTGACTCAAGGCTTGGACAGGGAAGTATAAGATTCCAATCTAGAATAATGCAGAAGGAAAGGAGATAATCACTATTTCACAAAGAAGGCTGACTCAAGTAGTGTGGTTCAATGGAGCATAAGGGTAGCAGGTGGAGGTCTGATGAGAAAAGGATATTTAAGTAATAGCAGAATATGTCCCCATAAAATACTAATCAAATTAAAAGGGGAAAACAGTGAACTGGTTGGATGAAATCAGTAGTCATCAAAAAGACTAGGTGAGCAATGTTAACATGACAATGGCAGACCAGGTCACTACCATGTACTTCCTAATGAGATGAACTGAGAAGTGCACAGGATCAGTTCTGCATTTCTTTGCAGTGGAATTTCTGCAAAGCATTTATGATCTGAGTTACGAAATGAGGAAACAGCATTATCTCATACTTTTAAAATGGATATGGTCAGGACATGAAACAGAAAAAGACTAAGGAACTGTTGCATATTGAAGAAATCTAAAAAGATGTGACTTCTGCATCAGATTTTCTCGACAGAATTGTGGATCAGGAAAAAAATGTTATTTTTGGGGTAGGTGAAAAAATATGAATGGGGTCTATGCATAGATATAGATGATACTGAAGTTATTCCCTGACTTAGAGGGTTGTGTTTGGTACACAGGGCAATATCCTTGCTCTTTGGAATATGGGGCGGGAGGGAGAGAGAGAGAAGAACAAAGATGAAGAAGTAGAAAAGATAGGGTATAGGAACAAAATTATTTAGAATACTCACCAATGACTTTAACAAAATAAGCATCTGCTTCAAAGTTATTTTTTAGTGTATGGATGGCAAAATCATTCTTTGAATATCCTTTACTTAGTACTACAATGTCCAAGATTCCCTGGAAAAAAGAAAAACAGTTAAGAACAAACTATTAGATGAACTAAAAAAAAGAAAATGACCATTAAAAAGTATGGTGTGTGTTATAGTTTGGATAAGTGTCCTCCAGAGGCCTCTGGGTTAAAGGTTTGGTTGACAGCCTGTGGAACTACTGAGATGTGGTAAAACTCTTAGGAGCTGAGGCCTAGTGGAAGAAAGTTCAGTTATTGGGGGTATACTCTTGAAGGGGATATTTGGGCCTAGATGCTTCCAACTGCCATGAGGTGAGTAGCCTCCTCCAACCATGAACTCCTGCCACGATACTCTATCCTGCCAAAGGCCCAAAGCAACAGGGCCAACTGATTGTATACTAAAATCTCTCAAACTGAGGCCTTCCTCCTTTTAAGTTAAAATAAGCCTTCCTTCCTTTTAAGTTATTTCAGGTATTTTGTCACAGTGACAGAAAGCTTACACTGTATATTGACCACTTAAGCGTAAAATGTATTTACTCAAGTTGAAGTTGAATAGTAAAATAAAATGAAAACATCTAGTTTTATTCTTTGAAAAGAATTGTTAGCATTTTGGTGTATTTCCTTCTGGCCATATATGCATGAATTTTTAAAGCCTGTGACAGTGATCACCAGATCTTTTCCAATAATCAGAGAGAGGACCTTTTATCTGTCCTTGCCACCTCAAGGTGTCATTTTTCTTTTTTTCCGTAAAAAAGGGGGAAGCTTTGCTAATTATATTAAAATAGAGTGTACTCAATTTAAACTGACTCTGTCGTGTCTCATGAGGCTATTCATCTATCATATTTTTATGTATGTTAGCAAATTTTTCTTCCTGTAAATTGACTATGTGCTATTTTTTCCAAAGAGTTTTAGGTGACATATCAGTTTGTCTGAATCCTTTTGTATTAGGACATTAATTATTTCACTCATTCATAGAAAACTTGTTACCCAGTTTCAAAAATATAATTTTAAATTTCATTTATGATGTTTTGATGTAGAGAAATTAAAATTGATTCATAGTCAATTCTTGTGATTTTTTTCTCCTCTTGTGATATTTCTGCCAATTACTTTTCTGCTTGGAAATTTCTAAAATTGAATGAGATCTGGTAGGAGGAGAACAGAAGAAAACAAGTTCCTGCATTATTCATAATTGGAAATAGCCTCTTATAAAAACAAAATAAACCCAAAACAGGGATGAAGAAGAAATACATGTCCTGATGAGCACCTGACTTTTTAAAGTAAATTATCTTGCATGGATATGCTTGGATACTTTGAAATTTAACAAGTTTATTATTTTTTTTTCCTAAAATTTATTTTTCTGAGTGGTAAACTGACTTTCCTCCTTGGAGAAAAATCCAAGCCTTTCATAAGTTAACCTGGTAACCAAATAATCTGTAGCAATAGATGCTACTTCTAGTTCACAAGGATAAAAGTGAGTACATAACTTTTCTTTTGCAATGTAGTAAATGTTTAAGAGTTAGTTATCTATTGACTCTGCTTTTGTCTACTGCTGACCATGCACATTTACCAGTCTCAATGCATGATTCTTCAGTGGTTTAATCCAAATAATTACATAAGGGCATTTTCATATTTGACTGTAATGATAAATTTGTTTTCTCTGTCATTTAACATTAAAAGACGCTTTCTTTAATTCATTTGCTTTCATTATGTCGTCTACATTTTCTATTCAAAAAGAGTATAAAGCTAAAGGGAGATGAAGTAGATGGAAATTAAACCCCAAACACTTAGGACCGCTCTGAACTCACATCTTCATAAATGTCAAAAAAGGTGGCAACCATAGCATCCCTGATTTGATTTAGGTCTGTCAGCTCCCAGTAGACTTTAAACATCCGATGTGCCTCCTCACAGCTTACATTATTACAAGGGACATTTTCCAATAAAAAGGCTTGCTGGTTGCTGTATAATAAACAAAAGGCATTTAGTTAATATGACATCTCAAAACTGTGCAACAACAGGTGTAATGTATTTTTCTAGAATCAAAAAATAAATATATACAGTGAAATTATACTAACCCCCCCCAAAAAAAAATCCAGCAATCAATTATGATTGCTGTACTGTGACATTAAAAACAACAACAACAAAAACAATGAACTAAAATTGTTGTCACTTCTTTTCAGTCTTTGATAAAAATTGTCTGACTTTTTGAGGCAAGTCAGTTGCTTGCCTTTTTCCTCTTTACATAGAGTTTCTACATACATCCCTCTGGTGCTCTCTTGTTATTCTATTATCCATATACCTTGTGTTCTGTAACTGAGTTCCTGGACCAGTTATTACCATTTACACCTATATTCTTCTTCTTCTTTTTTTTTTTTTGAGAGAGAGAGAGAAAGATTACTGTTCAATTTTTCTCTAATAATCATTTTAACTAAATTAGTGGAGATTTCTTCTTTTTTTCCACATAAAAATGTTTGAGTCTCGGTGATTTAGGGGGAAAAAAAAGAATTATAAGAAAGGAACATTTCTAAGTATTTAACACATACTTGAAACCTATGTACAAAATATTCAATTTGTATGAAGTACTAATACATGATTGCTTATTTTTCCAAGACTAAAAAAATTTCCAGAACAAATAGTTCATTAGAACAATTATTTAATCAATGAAAGCTTTCTCAGACCATAACATTTACTTGGAAAACTTTGAGGTGACCTTTGCTCAAGATATAACATGTAACAGCATTCTCATTACAAAGAACAAATGATTTTTCTTTGTCTCTTATCTAATAATTGATTTTTAAATTCTGATTTGCAATTTTTTTTTCAGGTAACTTATGTATCCTACTTTTTAAGCTAAACCATTTTACTATAAATTTCATAGAGATGCAGCATATTCTAGCTTCTCATTAGAGAGTATGTTTAAATATGAAAATATGTGATAAAAGCAGCTTTCTACTATATTTTGTGATCACTGTATCACATTCATCAGCCTTCTGCATGTATTCTATTTCTCTTTTCAAAGCCACTGCATGGATTTCATTATAACAACTCTGGTCAGTTTCATGTAAACAATCTTTATTGTAACTGTATAATTTAAAATTCCATTCTTAATTTTTTTTGTGGGGGGGTGCCAGGGTTTGAACTCAGGGGCATCAACCAACCACTGAGCCACAATCCCCAGCCTATTTTGTATTTTATTTAGAGACAGGGCCTCAATGAGTTGTTTAGCGACTCTGGTTGCTGAGGCTGGCTTTGAACTCATTATCCTCCTGCCTCAGCTTCAGGAGCTGCTGGGATTACAGGTGTGTCCAACCGTGCCTTACACCATTCTTAATTTTTGATACATGTTTGTAAAATAACGAATGTCTCACTAGTTATACTGGTGTTATACTGTGCAACTTGGGGTCTGTAAAAGCTCAGTTCTTTTAAATTCTGATGAAATCTAAAGACATAGTCTTGCTCTATTTGGTTTTGAAACCCTTGCGGGAGAATGGTTTTGCCTCTTTGAGTCAGATTTTCTGTATTTTTGGCAATTGCAATGAATGCATTGTTTAAAAAATTGTTTTTCAAAATGATTACAAAATTCAAGTAACAGAGACATTTAAAAAGTCAAAATCCTTCCTTTCCTGTGATAAACATTGTTAATAATTTGGTATGTATCTCTCCAAACTTTCTCCTAGGCTATTCATGTATGTAAGAACCCACCCATATCCTTATAAACAAAAAAGAAAACCTTCAAACCAAACTGGGTTCTGCTATGGGAAAATGATACTAAATTATCAAGACTTCTGACACTATTTTGAAAATTTCCTTTGGAGAAGTTGCATATCTTTCACCAATAGCCCACCAAATTATCAATTTCCCCAGTCTCATTCTCCCCAGTGGCAACTCTATTGTACGGATAAGCTATCATTCATTTAAAAATTCTATTATTGATGGTCAGGTTATTGCCAGATGTTCCTCTTTTATTTTTCTTTGGAAACTTCTACAAGGATTTTCAGATGATAATCATCTGGCCAAAAGATATGTGTATTTAAAAATGTACCAATTTATAGTTCCAATTTAATATGAGTGTGTCTTTCATGTCTTGGCAATAATAGTAGCATTGCTTCTTACTCTTGCCAGTTGAATTGCTTACAAATGATCTATTTTTTTTTTTCTGATTATGAGAAACTATTACTTTCAGGTTCATCAGTCCTTTTTCTTCTGTGAATTGCCACTAAAATTTTTTCTAACTGATTCTTAGATCTCTGATTGTTAGGGACATTAGCCCTTTACCTGTTATTCTTATATCCTCATTCATAAAATAGTAGTAATAATAGCACATTGCCTCAAGTGACTGTTGTAACCCTAACCCTAACCCTAACCCTTAAGGATTTGAATAGATATTATTTCTCCAAGCAATAAAAAGCTCATTATGCACAAAAAGGATAGTCAACAAAATGAGCTATCAGAGAAGTCCAAATCAAAATCATAATAAGACACCAATTAACATCTAGTAGCATGGCTGTAATAAAAAGAGACAGAGCTAGCAAGGAAGCATTGCATGTGCCTGTAATCCCAGCTATTTGAGAAGCTGAAGCAGTAAGACTGCTTGGGGGAAGCAGTTTGGGGCCAGTCTGGGCAACAAAGCAAAACACTGTCACTTAGAAAGAGTGAGTGAGTTAGAGTGAGGGGTGGGGGTAGGGGGAGAAAGAGAGAGAGGAAGATAATAGCTAGTGTTGGAGAGAATATAGAGAAATTTGGACCACATACATTGATGGGAGGCTTATAAACTGGTGCAGCTGCTTTGGAAATTACTGGAAAGGTTAAACAAAGTTACTGTTTGACCTCGGATTTCATCCCTAGGTATACCCAAAAGAAATAAAACATACATTCATACAAAAATATGTATGGATAATTAATTGTTCATAGTAGCATTATTTGTAAAAGTCAAAAGTGAAAAGTATACAAATATCCATCAACTAATGAATGGACAAACAAAATATAGTATACAACGAAATATTACTTGGTCATTAAAAGGAACATATTACACCAATACATGGATGATCCTTGAAAATATGCTAAGTGAAAGAAGCTAGAAAGTGCATGATTCCATTTATGTGAAATGTCCACAACAGGCAAATCTATAGTGAGAAAAAGCATACTAACAGTTCCCTAGGGCTGAAGGAATTGGAAAGAAAAAAGCAAGACTGGTAATGGGTAGAGGTTTCTTTTGAGATAATGACAAGGTTCTAATCTAGCAGGACAGTTATATAACTGTATTTGAAAAACCACTGAATTGTACATATTAAGTGAATTGTATTGTAAGTGATCATATTCTAATAATGCTATTATATATGTTTAAAAAGTGATATACCAGTCTAAGGTAAATTAGAAGACTTGATTGGCTATATTGATAAAAGACATGGTAGACTTCAGAACAAAGAAAATCACCAGATCAAGTCAGTAATTTCATAATAGAAAGGTGTCAGTTCTTCTAGACAACATAAGAATCCTAAATGTTTATGCACCTAGTAACAGAGCTTACAATTATATGAAACAAAAAACTGAAAGAGTTACAAGGTGAAAAAGACAAATTTACACTGTGTTCAAAGATTTCAATATGCTTCTTCCAATTACTGGTAGATTAAAAAGACATAAATTCAGTGAGGATAAAGAAGACTTGAACAAGATTATCATCCATTTTAAACTGGCTGACATCTTTTGAGGTGTAAATTATATTTGTCAAGATAGAGCATATACTGATCATAAAATAAGTCTCAATAAATATAAAGGAACTAAAGTCAAAGAAAGTATGTTCTCTGGTCATAATGGAATTAGATTAGAAAGCAATAATAGATACTTGGAAAATCTCCAGATATTTGGAAATTACTTAAAACACTGCCAAATAATCCAGGAGTAAAAAGGAAAAATAGAAAGTACTTTGAACTGAATGAAAATGAAGATGATGAATATCAAGATTTGCGGGACGTCATTAATATAGTATTTAGAGGATACTTACAGCATCCTATATTAGTAAACACCTATATTAGTAAAGAAAAGTCTCAATTCAGTGATCTCAGTTTCTTTCTTAAGAAACTAGAAATAGAAGAGTCAGTTTAATGTGAAATAAGCAGAAAAGGGAAATATCATAGAAGATAAATGAAGTACAGGACAATAATTAATTAAAACAAAAGCTGTCTTTTTTCTTGCCAAGATTAATAAAGTTAGTAAACTTCCAGCTAAAATAGTCATTTTAAAAAATAAAGATACAAAATGCTAATATCAGGAATGAGAGAGGTGATATCACTATAGATTTTATTGGTATTTAAAGCCACCAAAGGAATATTATAAAATGGGTGAATTTCTTGGAAGTATCAAAGCTCACTCAAGAGCAGATTGAAAAAAAAAATTAAAGTGTAGTTCAAAAGAGAAAATTTCATACTGAGATGACTTCACTGACGAATTATACCAAATATTCAGAGGGAACCTCTCCCACCAATTCTACAAAAACTCTTAAGTAAACAGATGAGAAAGACATATTTCCCAACTCATTCTATGAATCAGCATCATACACCAAATCAGCAAAGACATAACAAAAGAACTATAGACCAACAGCATTCATGAACACAAGTGCAAAAATTTTAACCAAAATTCTAGTAAGTAAACTTCAGAGTACAGACAGATCTTGCTTTGCACAGTACACTCACTGTTCATTGCAACTTCAGCATTTTGAAAACAATCTTCTGCTTTATGATTACCACAGAACTGTGCAGACAAGAGAACATAGTTCTGATAATGGACATGTTTCAATGAACACAGTACTTGCAAAGTGAGGGCTAGAGGTATATGAAAAAGAGAAAAATCATGAGTAGTTGAGCTTATTGCAGGAATGCAGAATTGCTTTAATATTTGAAAATAAATCAGTTTGATTCAATAGTTGGACATAAAGCAAATCACACAGTCAAATAATTTCTCAA